AAAATCAATGTATAAAAATCAGTTGTACTTCTATACACCAATAATGGTCAAGCTGAGAGTCACCTCAAAAACACAATCCCATTTATAATAGCCACACAGGCACAAAATACCTGGGAATATATCTAAGCAATTAGGTGAAAGATCTCTACAAGGAGAACTACAAAACATTGCTGAAAGAAATGACATAAACAAATAGAAAAACATTCCATGCTCATGAATTGGAAGAATCAATACTGTGAAAATGACCATACACTGCCCAAAGCAACCTACAGAACAAATTGCATGACTGAATGCAATACCTATTAAAATACCAGCATCATTTTTCAGAGAATTAGAAAAGAAATCCTAAAATTCATATGGAACAAAAATAGCCAAATCAATCCTAATAAATAAAAAAAAAACAACAAAGCTGGAGGCATCATGTTATCCAACTTTAAACTATATTACAAGGATGGCTACAGTAACCAAAACAGAATGGTACTGTTACACAAATAGACACAAAGTCCAATGGAACAGAACAGAGAACCTAGAAATATAGCTACATACCCACAATCCATCTTATCTTTGACAAAGTTGACAAAAATAAGCAATGGAGAAAGGACTCCCTATTCAATAAGTGGTGCTGTGATAGCTGGGTAGCCATATACAGAATAATGTAACATATGGAAAAGAATTTATGACTAAGTTCTCGAAAGCAATTACAACAAAAACAAAAATTGACAACTGGGACCTAATTAAACCAAAGAGCTTCTACACAGCAAAAGAAACTATCAACAGAGTAAACAGACAACCTACAGAATGGGAGAAAATACTCAAGAACTATGCATCCAACAAATGTCTAACATCTCGAACCTGTAAGGAACTTAAATCAACAAGAAAAAAACAAATAACCCCAGTAAAAATTGGGCAAAAGACATGAACAGATACTTAAAAGAAGACATACAAGCAGCCAACAAATGTGAAAAAAAATGCTCAACACAATAATCATCAGAGAAATGGAAATCAAAACCATTCTGACACTAGTCAGAGGGCTATTAAAAAGTTGAAAAACAAGAGATGCTGATAAGGTTATGGAGAAAAGGGAATGGTTACACTCTATTGATGGGAATGAATTAGTTCAGCCACTGTGGAAAGCAGTTTGGAGATTTCTCAAAGAACTTAAAACAGAATTACCATTCAACCCAGCAATACCATTACTAGGTATATATCCAAAAGAAAATAAATTGTTCTGCCAAAAAGACATGCACTGCTATGTTAATCACAGCACTATTGATGATAGCAGAGTCATAGAATCAACTGAGGAGCCCATTCACAGTGGATTGGATAAAGAAAATATGGTACATCAACACCATGGACTACTATGCAGCCATAAAAAAGAATGAAATCATGTCCTTTGCAGCAACATGGATGCAGCTAGAGGTCATTATCCTAAGTGATTTAATGCAGAAACAGAAAACCAAATACCTCATTTTCTCACTTATAGCTGGTAGTTAAATATTCAGCACACATGGCCATAAAGATGGCATTATTAGACACAGGGGACTATGAGAAGGGAGAGGAAGGGTGGGGGGTAAGGGTTGAAAAACTACCTATTGGGTACATGCTGACTACCTGGGTGACAGGATCAATCATACCCCAAATCTCAGCATCATGTAACATACCCATGTAACAAACCTGTAAATATACCTCCTGAATCCAAAATAAAAGTTGAAATTTTTAAAGTATCTACTTATAAATTATGCATTAATTAATTTATAAGGAACAGAAGGAACAGCAGTAACTATACAGAAGAGAAAAACATCTTAACCAAATGATTAATATTAATATCATTAATAAAGGTCCAACAGACTATGTGCCTCTGGGTGTTCATATCCCCAACAGAACATAACTACTTATTTTGTAATCCAGCCAATAATGGACAAGCTTATTCTAATCATAAGGAAAAAGTAAACAAACACAAATTAAGGGGCATTCTATAAGCATTCTAGCTAGTTTTCTTTAGAAATATCAATCTCATGCAAGAAAAAGACTGAAAACTGTTTTAAGTTTAAAGTGGCTGACTTTAAACTTAAGTCATGCAAACACAATCCTGAATTGGACCCAGTACCAAAGAAATAAAATTTGTAGTAAGGGACATTATTTAGACATTTGACAAAACTAGAAAATGAATTATAGGTGAAAGTACATCAATTTAAATATCTTTAATTGACAACTGAACTATGATCATATAAGGGAATATTTTAGTTCTTAAGAATGACACTGAAGCAGTAAGGAATGAAGGACCATAATGTATGCAACCTCTCAAGTGGTTAAAAAATGTATATGTGTTTAGGGAAAGGAACAGAATTATAAGACAAATGTGGCAAAATGTTGAAAATAATGAATCTAGGAAAGGTCATATGGGAATTCTTTGTACTATCCTTATAACTTTTCTGAAAATTTGAAATTACTTCAAAATAAAAAAATTTAAATTATTTTTTAAGATTACATATTAATATGTGAAAATTTTCACAATAGACAATTGAACAAAGCAAGTCCGACAAAATATGATTAGTACAAGTGCTTTGAACAGTGACAAGAGTCTTGTACCAGAAAGTAGCTCCATATACTGCTTTCTTCATCAAAAAGAGTCTTGCTATTAAAAAATAACTCAGCTATCCTAAACTCTGCTTAGTGACATTCTGGCATAACCTAGTAACAGTTAATGTACCAGCACTATAGTTTGAGTAGCACTAGTCTAAATACCATCTATTTATAATCAGTCAATCAATAACTACTTTAAGAATTATACATATGCATTTGGAATAATATACACCAAGTTATAACCAGTTTATGCTGGGTAACACAACTGAAGGTAATTTTTACTCTCTTCTTGTATTTTCTTTTTCTTACTCTTATTCTTTTCTTTTTTTTTTTTTTTTGACAGAGTCTTGCTCTGTCACCCAGAATGGAATGCTATGGCTCAATCAGACATATGCCACCATGCCTAGCTAATGTTTTATATTTTTAGTAGAGATGGGGTTTTGCCACATTGCCCAGGCTGGTCTCTAACTCCTGGGCTCAAGCAATCTGCCCAACTCAGCCTCCCCAGTGCGGGGGATTACAGATATGAGCCACTGCATCCGGCCTCTTGTATTTTTTTAAGTTTCTGAAATTAACATGGATTACTTTTGTAATAACAAAAACAAAAGTAAACTTTCAAAAAATGTGTAGGTGAAAAAGAATTAACAAGCAATCAGATTTACTGGAATTTGCCTCCTATATTAAAACACGACATTTTGTCTTAATGTTTACATACTACCAACATTTTTCTAAAAGGCTTGTACTTACAGCTGGTCTTGAAGCTCCACAATTATATATTCTAATTGTTCCTTCTCCAGTTTATGGGCCAGATCAGAATCTTCAATCCTTTGAAGTAGTATTTTATTCTGGGAGACAGATTCAGATAGTTGGTTCTCTCGAAGTCGTAAGAGTTCTTCAAGGTAACCCTGGAAATTCAGTATCATCAAGATATAGCAACTGCAAAATTCTAATACATATCCTGAAGATAAATGCTGAGTAGCTTAAATGCTATTGCTATTTATATTGTAATGAAACAATTTCAAAGCATTACTGATAAATTAGTAAAAAATTTGTTTTAATTGAATATAAAAATTTAACATATATTCTCCATTATTTAAAACTCTTCTCTGAAGTTTGAGAAACTAATTTGATGCAAAACTTAGTTAAAACATTGTAATTCTGAGCTTCAAAACAACTGCATGACTCCTAGCTTCAAAATACAGACCTAAAAACAGAATAACCAATTAGAAAGTTGCCTCTTTGTGATTATTTTTCAAAAACACATAGACATTAACATTTTAGCATTAATATGTTAGTGAGAGGTAGTATAATGTTTTGGTTAGGCCTGCCGGTCTAGTGTCATATTCCAGTTTTACCACTTATCAGCTATGTGTCCTTGGGCAAGTTACTTAAGCTCTCTGTGCCACAGTTTCACCATCTAAAAAAGTAGGACCCATCAGAGTACCCTAGTTGGTAGGATTAAATGAATCAATACAGGTAAATTGCTTGGAACAGTGTCTAGTATACTGCATGCAATGTATAATTACTAGCTATTATTATTGGTAAACACGTAATAGATATAAGACTTTTTGGAATGATCTCTTAACCTTTTACTCTTTACTTTTTCTTTATCCTTCTGTCCTGCTTTCTGGGAAACGTTATTGAATTTATCTTCGAACCCTTTGTACTAAATTTCTGAATTCAGGAAATCATATTTTTAATTTTCAAAAGCTCTTTCCTGTTTTCTGATTGTTCTCTTCCCATGGCATTCTATTCTTTTTAGTTGCAATGTACTTTCAAATTCCTCTAAGGATTTTTAATTAGAATCTTAGAATCTTTTTAAAGTATTCTTCTATTACATGTTACCCTATTCATGTGTCTTTAATAAACTTTCACCTATTTTAGATTTATGATACATGTTAAGAGTAGCTAATACTATTCTTCAAGAGCTTATTTTTCATATTTTTTCCTGATAATTCTCAAATGTTTGTTCTTCTATAATAAAATCTCAGAAGTTAAATTTTTATAAATGAATATTTCACATATATACAGCTTATGAATATATATAAACAATATATATTCATAAACATTAGTAATTAAAAAATACTCACATATCCACCACCTAGATTAATCACCAATACTTTAAAAGCCAATATAATGCCTTCCTTGATTGTCTCCTCTGCAAAGGTAACAATATCCTAGATTTGTATTTATCATCTTTTTACTTTTCTTTCCAGTTTTACTACAAATATGTGTCATCTTAAACAATAAGTTGTTTAGTTTTGCTTCGTTTTGTCAATATCCTTTTGAAAATGTTTTGTCTATATTGATGAGTCTAGCTATAGTTCATTTGCTCTAAAAACTGTATAGTATTCCATTGTATGAATATTGCAGTTTATTCACTCTTCCGTCACTGTTCTCTCAATGACTATTTGGATCACTTTAGGTTTTTCTTAATATAAACAATATTGCTGTGAACACACTCTGTTATGTCTCCTGGTATGCACATCCAAGAGTTTCGAGGAGATGTATCTAGGAGGAGAATTCCTAGGATATAAGCCATGTATATCTTCACATTTACTAGATACTGTTATTGATATTGCCATTGTAGTAATCGTTTTTACTACTGGTTTTATACTAATCACATTCCCACTTGATACTATAGTCACATGATCTTATGTTAGTATAAAAGTTATACTGGGATTCATTAAATTCATTGAAAACTATTCCTTCTTTTTCTATTCTCAGGAACAGTCCATATAAAATAGGGATCACTCATACAGTTGTGTGCCACTTAATGATGGGGATATGTTCTGAGACATGTGTTGCTAGGCCATTTTGCCATTCTATGAACATTACAGAGTGTACTTACACCAACCTAGATGGTACAGTCTACTACACACCTAGGTTAGATGGTATAGCCTATTGTTCCTAGGCTACAAACCTGCACAGCATGTTACTATACTGAGTACTGTAGGCAACTGTAATACAATAGCAAGTATTTATATATCTAAACGTAGAAAAGGGACAGTAAAAATATGGTATAAAAGATTTTTTTTTTTTTAAAAAGGCACAACTATGTAGGCCATTACTGTGAAATGGAACTTGCAGGACTGGAAATTGCTCAAAGTGAGTCAGTGAGTGGGTAGTTAGTGAATGTAAAGGCCTACAACTACTGTACCCTACTGCAGACTTTATAAACACTGTACACCTAGCCTACACTAAATTTATTTTTATGTTTTCTTTCTTCAGTAATAAAATTAAACTTAGCTTACTATAACATTTTTACTTTACAAGCTTTTAAAAATCTTTTTGACTCTTTTGTAATAACAGTTTAAAACATACATTGTACAGCTATACAACAATATTTTCTTTTTAACATCCTTATTCTATAAGCTTTTTTTCTATTTAGACATTTTAAAAAATTTTAATGTTTTAAACTTTTTCATTATAAATGAAGACACAAACATATACATTAGCCTAGGCCTACACAGGGTCAGGATCATCAATATCAGTGTCTTCCACTTACGCCTCTTGTCCGACTGGAAAGACTTCAGGAGCATTAATACACGGAGCTGTCATCTCCCATGATCACAATGCCTACTGCTGGACTACCTCCTAAAAGACCTGCCTGAAGCTGTTTTACATTTAATTTTTTTGTTTTTTAAGTAGAAGGAGTACACTAAAAAATAATGACTAAAAAGCATTGTATAGTAAATATGTAAACCAGTAACAGTACTTTATTATCATTATCAAGTATTATGTACTGTCCATAATTGTATATGCTAGTTTTTAATGACTGGCAGGGAAATAGGTTTATTTACACCAGCATCACCACAAACACATGAGTAATGCATTGTGTTACAACATTACCATGGCTACACCACTAAGTGATAGGAATTTTTCATCTTCATTATAATCTTATGGGACCACCTCATATACATGACCCATTGTTGGCCAAAACATTATTATGTAGTGCATGACTGTATTTGGTAGACTCACCAAAACAATACATGATATTTTTTTTTGGTGGGGGACTGGATAGATTTTAAACTACTTATTCAATTTGTTAAATGACTATATATCTATCAGTTTTGATAAGTAGTATTTATAAAAATTCTTTGTTTTGCAAAGTATTATCATAAAATTATTTAAATATTCTCTAATAATTATTGGGAGGGTTTCTCCCACATTTATGCTGTGCTGTCTATTCTTCCATTCTTAAGATTATCTGTGCCTTAATTTTTTAAAAAAATTA